ACAAACTCTGTTTACCACCCTAATTCTCAGGTAAAAGCTCCTGTGCAGTACAAGCTGGCCAAAGGAGGAACCTCTCATTGGTGCTTGCTCTTGGAGCAGTGTCTCAATTCACTGCAGGCAGAGCTGTCTCTGCTGCATTTGACCCTGGTAACAGAAATTTATGGGGATTTGAAATGCAAGGACAGGGTCTTCAGGCTGCCTTCAAAGCACAAAAATTCTCATTTGTCAGGCCTGTGATGCCTTTCTCTGCTTTTATGTAGGGAGAATTATTGTCATCACCTTGGAATCATTTCTTGATAGCAGCTGAGGGAGATGCTGCTTTGATTTTCTTAGCCAAGATTATTATGAACAGCATGACTTCAGAAATACTTGCTAAATAAATTGCTTAATTATACAGAACTCTGCAGAGTGACTGGGCATCTTCCTACCCCCAAAGCACCTAGCAGCTGGGAAAACTTTATCCAAATTAAACTTAAACTAATATTAAACCAAAATAAGGAGACACACGGCTGTATTTAAAGAAGTAACAAAAGAAAAAAAAGTCCCTCTCTACAGTAGCTACATGGGAGTTTTCATGTACACAGGTATAGGACTGCCATTCTGTAAGAGCTGTACCCCACAATTTGGGCTCTTGGAGTAAGAAAGATCTCCACTATCTTGCTGTTATTAATATCAGGACTAAGAACAGACCATCCTTTGCTAATTTTAGCACTCTGAAAAAGGCAAGGAGGAATAAAAATACTCCAGGACATCCATCCTCATTTTTTAACACGTTCACTACATTTGTGTCATAATTTTACACTCCCAGTCTTGAGATATTTCACGGATGACTTTTCAGTGGTATGAAAACCTACTGGGCTCCTGATCTTACTGCTGTGAGTGAAGAAATGCACATAATCAGTTTGCAAAGGACAACCATTCCAAGAATTTGTTACAAAGCAGAGCTGTGGTCTGTGGCGGCCTAATTCTAAATCCGACAAATTAACTGCATGGAGCTTCCTATTTTATCTGTGCCTTTCCTTTCCAGTGATTTTCCATTTATGCCAGAGATTATCTCAAAGCACTGTGTTAAGTTTCAGTGCCTCAAATCAATAGATTAATCACTTCATCAGCCTTCACTTAGTTTTGGAGGATTGTTTTGAAATTAAGACAGACCTAATGTTATTTTAACCTCGTTTTTGTTTGCATGTGTGGGGAAACAGCTTGATAGCACAGATCCCCAAGTCTGAAAAAGCACAAAGTGTCTCAGATAACATTTGAGGAGTTTTTCTTGAGTACCTGCCACGTACAGAATGTCTTTGGCAGTGATGCCAGCAGGCTGGGGAGCCAGTAGAGAGGTGTGCAAAGGATGATGACCCCCCTGCCATGCAGGTACTTGCTGTCCTCTGCAATTCACGTCCTCCAAGGCTTTTGCTCAGGGATTGTTAGGTAAGCGGCACAAAGATGGTTTCCATGGACACTTTTTGTGATCTGCTTGCAGCAGAGGAGCAGCAGCTCAGTCTTTAGATGCAGGTTTTGCAGCCCTGCTCCTTCCCAGCCTCTAGCTGAGGCTGTGCTAGCAGAGCAGGCTGTTGGAGAGGTTGTGTTCCAAACCTCTCTGTGATTCTGAGTGGCTCCTTCCCCTCCTCAACCAGCTTTGTGCCACTTTCATTTTCTGGTCATGGTGGTAGACACCGTGCCTTTTCCACACAGCCCCTGGAAAGGACTTTGTTAGGCACTAAAATGCAATCCTCGCTCACAGCCTTGGTGACTGGCAGCATCTAAATTGCGATGAACAAAATCAGGCTGTGGAAATTGGTGCAGCTAAAAAGTAATCTGGAAAAAGAACAATTCTGTTACAACCAGATGGTCAGATGCACAGAAGTATCAAAACCCTTGGCTGGGGCTGGGCTGGCTGCATGCTGGGCTGTGCTTCTCTGCATAGCTCTCCTCATTCCAAATTGCAACAACTGAAAATGCTGGGATGCTGAATTTAAAGCACAGCTCCAGCGTTCCTGGGAATGTCTGGTATTCCTTACAGACGTTACACTACCCAGCATGCAGTGGCCTGCTATTTTTGACTCAGTCTCAAAGAGGACACAGTGATTAGGATTCTTGTGATTTAATTATGCTTCTTGTTTGGTTGGAGTTTTGGTTTTTTGTTTTGATTTTGGGTTTTTTTTTGTGTGTGTGTTTTTGTGGTGGGTTGTTTTTATTGCTGTTGTTGTTGTTATTGTTTAATTGAGATATTTCTTGTCCCCACTGCTCATATCTGAAGTCTGTTTTAGGACCTCTGTGCACAATTAGAAATTTCCAGCAATACTCCAGTATCAGTTTATGCCTGGTTTATTTTTTGCACGCTAGTGTTGTTTTATGGCCCAAATGTACATTTTGCCTTCAGGACACATCTGTGCATTGTGATGAATGGTTCTGTCCACACAGCTCTGCTGCCCCTGGGTGGAACCAGCCAAGCTTCTCTTCCAGGAGGATAGGGGGTCTGCATTTATTTCAGTGTGCTGTTCTCCTTTATCCGTACTTGTTTTCTATTTCTGCTTTGTTTTTTCATGCATGAGGCCTGAATTGGACTTGGTGTTCCATGTGAGGTCTCAGGAGTGTTTGTGCTACGTCTTAACCTCTGGATTTGCAGGTAGTCCCTGCTGTGAGCACCTTTGCCAGCACACCTGGCATTCCCTGTTTGCCAAGGGTACCACATTGGCACACCTTGGATTCCCTGTGCCTGTTTGCCAAGGGTGCCACATTGGCACACCTGGCATTCCCTGTTTGCCAAGGGTACCACATTGGCACACCTTGGATTCCCTGTTTGCCAAGGGTACCACATTGGCACTCCTGGGATTCCCTGTTTGCCAAGGGTACCACATTGGCACTCCTGGGATTCCCTGTTTGCCAAGGGTGCCACATTGGCACACCTGGCATTCCCTGTTTGCCAAGGGTGCCACATTGGCACACCTTGGATTCCCTGTTTGCCAAGGGTGCCACATTGGCACTCCTGGGATTCCCTGTTTGCCAAGGGTACCACATTGGCACACCTTGGATTCCCTGTGCCTGTTTGCCAAGGGTACCACATTGGCACACCTGGCATTCCCTGTTTGCCAAGGGTGCCACAATAGCACACCTGGCATTCCCTGTTTGCCAAGGGTACCACATTGGCACTCCTGGGATTCCCTGTGTGCCAAGGGTACCACATTGGCACACCTTGGATTCCCTGTGCCTGTTTGCCAAGGGTACCACATTGGCACACCTGGCATTCCCTGTTTGCCAAGGGTGCCACAATAGCACACCTGGCATTCCCTGTTTGCCAAGGGTACCACATTGGCACTCCTGGGATTCCCTGTGTGCCAAGGGTGCCACAATAGCACACCTGGCATTCCCTGTTTGCCAAGGGTACCACATTGGCACACCTTGGATTCCCTGTTTGCCAAGGGTACCACATTGGCACACCTGGCATTCCCTGTTTGCCAAGGGTGCCACAATGGCACACCTGGGATTCCCTGTTTGCCACCTCAGTGAGGCACACAGCTCCACAGAGCAGAGCAGGGCCCAGGGACAGTGCAATCCCGGAGGCACAGCACTGAACCCTGCTCTGTGTGGGCTGCACTCACCAGCAGCACGGTGCCAGCCTGCCTGGGCATGGGCAGCTCAGGGAATTGTCCCTCTGCAGGGCTGGCAGCTCATTAGGGCAGCAGAAAGGGCTGGTGGCAGCGCTCTGCTTCCCTCAGATCTCCACGCCAATGCTCACAGCGCTGGTTCTGAATACTCAATGGAGGAAAGCTTCCAGAGCTTACACAACACCACACCAGGAAATCTCAAATGTGCTGAAGACGGCTACGTGGGTATTTTAGCATTCTTTAGAATGTATCCACAGTGCAATATATGGTGGCACTGCAAATTCCTGCAGCGGTGTGTTTGCACCACAGACACCAAAAGTAACCCAATGCCAGATGATATCAGTGACCCACTCTGCTATTGCCAGCTGTAGCCAAGAGGCAGAGGCTTCCAGAAACAGGTGAACATATTTTAATATTCCCTAAAAATATACAGTGTGCAACAAAAAACTTTGGAGGAAAATACTACCTCCTGACTTTTGACAATTTAATTTATACTATATGAGAATGACATTTAATCACCCTTATCTTAATTATCCTTATCTTGGTATGTGCAATAACTGCATGTATAACCATCAGCTCTAAAGTGATTCAGCCACAAAATTTACCTGAAGTGCCTGAAGCACTATTTTCTATATGCCTATTTCAGCTTCAAAAATGCCTTTCTTTAACTTGTTCTAAATTCTTTTCACATAGATTTTATTGCATGAATTCCCTGTTTTGCTGATAAGGGCCACAGAAGTAATGACTGGTTTTTGGAAAAGGTTTCCATAGACTATACCTGTGGAAATATCTGTATGTATTTGTGTTCTACTCTGTGACCCTTCCCATACAAAATTCAGATTTTTCAATGCTCTTTTGACCAGGTAAAACCTCTTATTTGTGATCTTTTCTATCCAAGAGAAGATTTTTTTTCACTTTTTCTTTTCTTTTTTTTCATTATATCTTTTTTTTTTTAAATGAAAACATCCAGGGAATTATGAGGATCAAATGTGAACAGCTAACTGAGGAAAGAATGCTGAAAATCAACACAGAGATAAAAAGGGCAAATTAAAATACACCAGAGAGAAGCAAATGCCCAGAATATTTCTGAAAGCAGTTAAGGAGTTGCTTTATAAAAGAGCAAGCAAGGGAGATGTTACTCTAGGGAAAATAGCTTTGGCCAGAGGTTTAGGTTTTGGCATCAACTTTGGTGGTGGAAAGGTTTTCCTTCTTGGTGGAGGAAATGTAAAACCCTGACTGGCACAAAGTGAACCACCAATAGGCTGTGACCTGAAATTCATCAAGGGGATTTTAAAGGTGATTTTTTTGTTGTTTGCTTTTTTGTTGGTTTTTTGTTGTTTTTATTTATTTTTTTTTAAGTAGCTTCTGAAGGTTCAGATATTTGGGTTTGTTCTACTTCCTTCATCACACTGTGGTGCTGCCCTGTAAGAAAGATCTGATTGAGGCAGTGTCAGAGCTGGTTTGGGGACACTTTAAGAAGCACACAGAAATTGACCTTGAACCAATGACTTTGTGCAACTTGGCAAAGCAAAGGAAGGCAAAGATTTAGTGAACTGGAAGTGCTTGTCCCAGAGCTGCTCTCTCACCAGTTCCACTGCTATGAGGGCTATGAACAGCATTGCAGGTTTCATATAAACACATGAACCCGGACAGTGAATCCATCAGAGGACAGCATCAGTCCATCCACCCTTCCAACATTCCTTCAGCACTCCTGCCTCTGTGTACCTGGGGGTTTTCACTTGGGGCTTCCTGTGCCCAAAGACAGTGGGAAAAATTATGTGTCAAGGTAAGCAGGGAGGTCAGTGTTCTCTGGATGCTTTGGAAGCTTTTTTGTCGCAGAGTGATCATAAAAAGATCAGTGGACAGCTTTTAGCCTTTCTCTTAGTAATACATTTTGATAACAACATCAATAACTATATATTAATGGCTTCCCACTGTTGCTTCCCGCTGTAAGCAGTTGCTGGTGGGGGCCAGAAAGATTATTTCCTGTAAAAAAAAATAAAGAAAAAGAGGAGGAAAGATGATTATCAGGAATGCTGTTAGAATGTAAAACACTTCTAGAGAAACTAAAACAAATCTCTCAAGTTCCCTACTTTTTTGCATTATAATGACTTGTAGCAGACATTCAAGAAAGCTGCTGACTGGCTGCTTTGCTCCCTGTAAGCATTCCTTTAATGCTGAAGATTAAATAAATGCATTGCTACAAAGAATGAGCAACTGATTTTTAAAAATTATTATTGCTAAGAAGAGGGAGCTGGATTAGAAAAAGTCATTCCTCTGAGAAATAATACCTCCAAAATAATCTTTCAGTGAAAACAAAAACCACAAAACAACAAAAGAAAACGAAACAATTCAAAACCAGCAAGAGCCTTATTTAGCAGAGCTAGCTGACATGCTGTTCTTTAAAAGTTAAATATGTGCATCAGTTGGAGATAGGATATCAAATATCAGTAGGGAGAGCAGCAGGAAACTTTTTCCACTGCATGAAAGGGATAAAAAGAAGAAAAACAAGTCTCAGTTGCAGGAACAGCTGACTAAGCGCCTGACATACTCGAAATACAGCCAATTGTAACAAATACCAGGGAAATCTGTATCTTCCAAACAAAAACTCTCCTCGCTGAGGAACTTCAGATCTAGATAAAAATGGAGCTATCAGAAGGACACCGAAGCCATAGACACACGGATCACACAGAACCAAAATGCTGCAGCTCCAGCTGCTTGCACAGGATTTTCTGTGCTCTGGGTGTGCTCGGCCTTCAGGGAGTGCGGGCAGGGAGGCCCAGCTGACACAGAAATGCAAAATTCCAGGAGCCAGAGAGAATGGGAGGCAGGCTCCACACCCCTGGTGCCTGGGGGGAGCCGGAATGAATATTCCTTGCCTTTCACATGCTAAAAGCTCGGTGGATTCACAAAGCCGCCAACCTTGCTAGTGTGCCACATCCTCAAGTGCAGACTGCAGAGCTGGATCTGCTACTCCATCCAAAATATTTCAAGGGAAGAGGAGCAAGAAGCAGAATCTAGGAAAGCCAGTAAAGATTCTGTGTTTGCTTACACTGCCTGAGACTTCAGCTCTCTTTCAAGCTGTTTTGAGAAAACACAGACTCTGAATTTCAGTAGCACTGGGAACTCCAGTAAGACTCAATGTTCTTGTGGCAATTCCTGTACACCTTTCTCCTTGATTACCTCCTGATTGCCTCATGCTGCTGTCCAAGCTGCAGGGGCCAGGGAAGCAGTTCTCCTCCCCAGCAGTGCTTCCTGTGGCTGTAGAGCTCTGCAGCCCTGTGGAAGGGAACATAGAGAATTGGGCAAAGTTTAGCCCTTTACCTTTGGTATGGTTGCAATAATTTTGTTATATTTTATTTATTTTTTAATCATAATATTGTTTTATTCTTCCAAGAGGAACACATAGCTTTATTATCCTTAAACCTGAAATGTAATGTAACTAATGTTCCAAGATCTCCCTTAAGAAAAATATAAATGAAGCTGACTAATTTAGTAATTGTCTACGCTTAGCGACAGTTGCAAACAGACAAGTCTGTAAAAGATATTTCCAACCTATGATTAAATATCAGGCTGCTCTGAGCTGTTCTTCTCTGGTGCCCACGATACTCCTTTTGCCAGCCCCCTGAGAACCAATGCCTTGAGGTAAATAAAATCTCTAAGGTGAATAATGAAATAATCCTGGGAACAATAATAATAATAATAATAATCTGTAGGCCTTTCAAAAGCAGCCCGAGATGATGACATATAGATTGTAGGCTCCACCTGTTCAGTAATTCCCAAGGATAGGATTTAAAACTATCCTTGGTATTTAATGACCTGGTGAAATTCTAAAGTTGCTCCTTCTTGAATCGTTCATGGAGGGCAGACACAAAATCTGTTCACATTAACCTTAATTCTGTAGGAAATGGGATTTGGACAAGGTGGGGAGTGAGACCTGGAGAGAAGGTGCACACAGGGACACCAAAGAGTGTCCAGATTGGACACATGGGCCTCAGCACACCAGCTGGAATGCTTATGGAAAGGGTGTTGTGGAGCTGGCCAGAGTCCTCCTGGTCATCTGTCCATTTCATGGAAAGGAGCTGCTCATAAGCACAAGAATGCAGTGCACCTTTTCCTTCATTTCTGGTTTTTTTAGTCCTTGACTCCTTGAAACTACCAAGAAAGTTGCTGGGAATGGTGTTTTGTGAGGAACACACATAAACCAGTTTAGCAATTTCTTCTCTCATTAACGCAGAATTGCAACAATTTCCTGCTCTTTCCCTTCTGTCCCTCATCTCCCCTCTTTGGCACCTTTCTTTGCCTTTCACAGCATCACAAAATGGTTGGGGCTGGAAGGCACCTCTGGAGATCCTCTGGTCCAACCTCTCTCCTCACCTGGAGCAGGCTGTACAGGATCAAGTCCAGGTGAGTTTTGAGTATGTCCAGGTAAGGACACCCCACGGCCTCTCTGGGCAGCCTGTGCAGTGCCCTGTCAGCTCCAAAGCACAGTTTTCCCTTTTCTTCAGGCAGGTTTCCTGTGTGCGTTTGTGCCACTGGCCCTGCTCCTGTCCCAGAGCACCAGTTCTGTCCTTGAGAGGCGTTGGTGAGGTCCCCCCTGAGCCATCCCTTCTCCAGGCTGGACAGACCCAGCTCTCCCAGCCTTTTTCTCTCTCCTTCCTCACTGACTCAGGCTGAATGTGGGGTGGCACTCATTTACGTGTGATAACCATGCTCTCAGTCCCTCAAGGTAATTCCCTACACAGTTTTTAATTGTTTTAATTTAGTTCAGCCATCTCCTCCCTGCCCCCCTTTATACTGTAAAATTGATTAGAGATTTCACCGGAGAATACACAATGACATTCTGGTAGTACCCTAGAAAGAGGAAAAAGTATTCTAGGCTTCTTTTACAGCTCGCATGACATTTAAATGCAGAGCTGATATTGTCCTTTTCACAGACAGCGTTTTAAATTGCTGATGTTTGTAATTTTCCATTGTAGGAGGATGTTTGATTAGTCAATAAAATGTTAGAAAAGCATAAATTTCTAGAAAGTACAAAAGCCATTCAACTCCTCCTCCTGTATTGTTGCAGGAGAATTTATTCTTGAATGCAAGAGATTTTAAATGTGCTGAAGTAGACTCTTTTGGGTACTTATGCAAGATGTGTACTTGTTGCCCTTGAGAAAAACACCAGCATAGGGTAAATTATTGGACACATGTAGAGTTCAAGTTAGTCAAGGATCAGTCAGCTTGTAACTGCTTTTCAAATACAGCTTAATCTGCTAAAATGAATTCAGGCACTGGCCTTAATTATGACTTTGTGTTGCTTTGTTTAATCCCTATTTTTTGGTACAGGTATTTTTTGAGTAGTGTAACTAAAATGAAGATTTTTATTTTCTTCTTTCTTTTAACGCCGTGGCTATATTGTTTTATAAACAGCCCTAACAAACCTACAGCATGGAGAAAATGGAAGAACTGCAGAATTCCTCTTTCAGCTGCTTGTTTTGATTTAGCAGCTGCTTCAGTGCAAGCATGTCTCTGTTTCTGTGAGCTGGGCAGGTTTTATCAGGTCTGTCTCTCACTGCTGAGCTGAATTGGCAGGCCTGGGGCAGGGCTTGTTGAGGCTGCTGAGGGGTCCAGCAGGGGTGACTGGGTCACTGCTCACACCCAGCTCATGAGCAGGGACAGCACAGAGGGAACTCACCTGGAGAGGCCCTGCAGGGAACCAAGGCCATTCACAGATGTCCTGGCCTCCCCCAGAACTCCTGAGATTCCCTGTGAAACCCTGAGCAGGCAGCTGGAACCCTCTCCCCTGTGAGCACAGCACCTTCCTCCAGAACTCCTGAGATTCCCAGTGAAACCCTGAGCAGGCAGCTGGAACCCTCTCCCCTGTGAGCACAGTACCTCGTGCCCCACACCACTGCCACGCTGGAAAGGGCTCAGGTGGTCAGGGGCTGGGTTATCTGTGGAACCTGCCACGTGAGTGACGCTCAGGAGCCTGCTGGAAACTCCAGCTGTGAAACTGCAACGAGCCTTGAGGCTTTTTACTCTGTCTCATGTGGCTTTCAAAGCACACTTGAAAAAGATATAACCTATTATTGTGTCAAGCAACTTGCACCAGAGAGGACTTTCTACCATTTCAACAACATACAAGCAGTATCCAGCTTTAAGAAATCTCTAAACTGTCAAGATTTTAAAAAGGAAACTATTTCAAGCTCATCTTCCCCGAGACTGAAACAAAATCTGTTTATGGAATACAATAAACATGACAGAATGATCGAATGATCAACTTTGTGCGGCAAGAGTTGTTGCTAGGATGCTGTTCGATGCTGCTGGATGGATGCTAGGCCACCAGGCACTTCAAAAATGTAATAAATAAATAAATATGCAAGAGCTGACTTACAGTTTTACACCATGTGTACAGAGATGTGATTCATCCTGACACAAGTAATACACGTGGGACAATGAACAGAAATTATATGCTTGAATGCACTGAAGAAATCCTGGGATCAAAGGACAGGACTGGAAGCCAGAAAATGATGTCCAAGCCCACTGTCTGGTCTGATGGCACATTTAAACCTTTGGGTGACTCAGTTTTTCACTCATGAGATTGGGACAACATAAAGCATTTTGAAACGCTGCTCTGCAAAATGCTGTTAAAATTACTTATGGCTAGAAGGGGTCCTATCTCTGGTCACTTTTATGCAGTGAGTCCTGGAGCAATTACTGAATTACTGGCTCTGGAAAGCAGCCAGGTGAACTGCACCTGGGAAGTTAAAACTGGTTCTCATCCTGATGTTGCTCTTTATGCCTTTTCCTTTTTTTTTTTTTTTAAAGCATTTATAAACGTCCAGCGCTGACATAAAGGCAAGGTGAAAAGTGTAGGAATAAATTAAACAGCACAACCTGGTTCCTGAATAGCAGAAAGGGAAAGGAGGATAAGCAGGTCAGACTGGTAGAGCACAGGCCTGGGAGAGAAGCAAACATCCTGTTTTCTCCAGTTCCTTGTAGTGAACATCTCTGGCCAGCCTTGGAATGAGTTTGGTTTGGTGGGGTGTACCTGCAAACATACCAAGCATGAAGAGAAAACACATTTCTTTGGGGTTTGATCTGGACACAGCAAAAATTCGTGGGAAACAAAAGGTTAAAAGGGAAGGAAACCAGGTTAGTGGCTAACTGTAACTTTTATTGATTAAAATAACAGGAAGTAGGAAAAATAGGAATTTTTTTATAAAACCCCAGGAATTAAGATTTCCCAATGCACCATGAGGACAAGCCAAAAGGATATATCTTTTTAACATGACCAGAAAGATGAGAGTGCTGCTGCCTAAGCGTTCAAAGTTCTTTCACATCCATTGTAAATAGTTAGCATGCAGGAGTTCAGCTCTCATCATTCCTGAGCATTCTAAGCACCAGAACTGCTCCAGCTTCCCCCTTTTCTGTTAAAAATACACTTACAAACAACTCATGGAAATCTAATCAGACTTGGGTAAATTCACAAGGCTACTCAGAGTTAATAACTGAAACCTTCTGGTGGGTGTATTTATTATTCTCAGTATTAGCAAGATTGAATCTCTGTTTAGACCAGCTCTTGTTGAAATGAACGTTTGGAAGCTGGAGCATTCAACCTTTTTATTTCAACAAAATATCTCTTTGGACCTAATCTATAAATAAATCTTAGTTTATCATCTACCAAACTGCCTAAGCAGAAGCAGAGGCCACTATAAATCATATGTTTGATCTGGTAGAGTGATATCATGCCTCTGTGGCAATATTGACTTCTAGGGCTAAGGAGTGTATGCAGGTGAATGTGTTAAAAGAAAGGTATTTTTCAAAGCATTGAAATTTCAAAATATCCTTACTTTCATAGAAGAAAAAGTGAAATGGGCTAGTGGAAGAAATGGGTGAAATTTTACGGGATTTGAAATTTGATTCAGATCCTGGTGTTCTTTCCCCTTCAATGCTTGATAGAAAAATCCTATTAATGTAGAATAACATACTTACACTAATAACATAAACCCATAAACATTACATTTTAATTTAAAATACAGCATAAGGAAAATTTATTTATTGAGCTCTCCCAGACAGATTCCTGCCTCTGAAGATTTTAAATACCTGGTGTGAATCAAAGTTTAGATGGAAAAGAATACTAAGATCAAAGTTTTGCTGACCTGGGTCTGTTTCAGAGTAACAGCTCCTCAGGGCTCTTCAGAGCCCGACCATTACTCTTACATAGTTTTTGTGTCTTCGTCCTGCTCAATTCAGTTGTACTTACAGAAGAACTTCTTGGTCGGTGCTTCCTCTGTGGGAAAATCACAAAATGTGAAAGTAGGCAGGTACTCGTAGGATTATTAGGGGCAGCATTAAAATATTTCTAAATTTCCCCCCCCCCCCTTTTTTCCACCACAGAAGCTATGGTGTAATCTGAGCTCTTTTATTTATTTTTTTCCCGCCAAAAATAACTTCAAGGCAACAAGATTTCCAGCATGAAATAAGTGAGGGGAAAAAAAAAAAAAAAAAAAGAAAGAACGTAGCTGCTGTAGGAGGAGCGGATCAAGGCGCTGAGCAGGTGCGCGCCCTGAGGGGAGGCGCGGTGAGGGCTTCCAAAAGCCGGGACCAAATTAAAGAATTAAAAAATGAACCGCAGCAGGTAACTCCGAGCCAGCGAGGGTCAGCCGGGAGCTGCCCGCATTCCTTCACGGCCGCTGTCCCGCAGGAGCCCCGGATAAAATCGGTAAATCCCCTCCCGGGCAGGGTGCCTGAGGGGACAGCGGGGCTCCGGAGGGGACGGGCAGGACCCTGGAGGGGACAGCGGGGCTCCGGAGGGCACGGGCGGGCGCCTGAGGGGACCGCGGGGCTTCAGAGGGGACAGCGGGACCCTGAAGGACCGGGCGGGACTCTGAGGGGCGGGCGGGGGTCAGGCTCCACCCGGCTCCGCCCGCTCTCCCAGGCTGCTCCGCGCCGCAGCCGGGGAGGAGGAGCCGCTTTATCGGGAGCCCAAGTGGAATTTTCCCCGTCAGTTGCCGGCTCTGCCGTGGAAGGAGCACCAGCGAGGGCCGCCTACTCTCGTGTCCCCGTGTCGCGCCGCGTCCTGCCCGCTGTCATGTCCAACTACATCCACGTCCCGCCCGGCTCGCCGGAGGTGCCCAAGCTGGACATCACGGTCAGCGAGCGGGAGGGGCCCGGCTACCGCCAGGGCGCCCTGCAGCTGCTGCGCCGGCTGCGCCCGCACTGGAGACCCGAGGAGGTGACGCTGCAGGTACGGGGGTCCGCGGCCGCTTGTCGCGATAGGCAGGGCGGGGAGCGGCGGGCGAGGCAGGGGCGAGGGCGGGCGGCCATTGTGCGGGGGAGCTGCCGCCTTGTTTCCTCCCCTCTCTCCCTCCCTCCTTCCCCCGCTCGCCGCCGCAGCCCCCTGCGCGGAGCCCCATTTGCTGGGCGGCCCGGCGGCGGGGCGGGGCGGCGCGCAGCATCCCCGGCTGCCGCCTTCCTTCCTTCCTTCCTTCCTTCCTTCCTTCCTTCCTTCCCTCCCTCCTTCCGTCCTCCTCCTGCCGTGCCGTGCCCTGCCGCCGGAGCTCGGTTGCCCGTGCCGGCGGCGGGGAGCGCTCCGGAGCCGGCCGAGGGAGGGAGCGGGGCCGCCGTGCCCGTGCGGTGAGCCGGGGCACAGCGGGGCGCGGGCCGGCCCAGCGGGCCCCTCCGCCGCCCCGGGCGCTCCCGCGGGCGGTGCAGCCCTGTCGGGCGCTTCCTGCAATAAAACCAGAATAAATATCTGCCTTGTGCTCGCATCCGGGCTGGGCTCGGGCCCCGCTGAGGCCCGCGCTCGCTGCTCCTGGCAGAAGCCCGCTGCTGTCTCTGCTGCGCTCTAGGTGAGCGGGCACTGGGACTTGTGACGAGTCATCTGCCGGAGGATTGGCTGCTTTGTGCTTCTAGAATATACTGAACATGGCCCCTGGACTCACAAACTCCAGCCGGTGTGCCTGCGGAAATAGCGGTTCAGCCTGTGGTTGGCTGAGCATTTTATTGTATGCTCAGCTGTGTTATTCAGCAGTTGTTATTACGTGGAGGTGTCTCATTTCAATGAAGTTCCTCTTTGGAGAGCTGCTGAACTAGTTTGTATAGGAAAGCTGAGCGTGTTGAGGTAATGGTATGTAATTGGACTGAAATTTTCTGATGTCTTGAAAGAAGAATGGAACTTGACGCATGGCAGTCCCGTTAGCATGAAAATAAAGCTAATGAACTTTTCCTAAGTAATCTGTTTCAAGTAGTGGCCATAAGTTATGCACAGTCCCAACATCTCGAGGTGCAATGAAAATAGCTTTTTACAACATGTGAGGTTGTTAAAGTTCATAGAGTATCTTGATTTGGGAGGGGTCCATAAGCATAATCCAACTTGCTGCTCCTTGCAGGGCTACATAAAGTTATGAATAGTTTTATTCTTTTGGTTCTCTGATGACTGCAGTTCTCAGCAAAAAATGAGCAGGAGGAAGCCCTGCAGCCCTCCCTTCACATGGGTGTGCTCAGCAGGCAGGTGAGGGTGGCACTCCTGTCAGGAGAATATGCCTGACTAATCTGAAGCAGCAAATGGACAAGGAATAGGTTCAATGATAGCACAGAGATGGGTTTAATGAGCTACTGCTGCTTCTTCAGGTGGACTCTGCCGTTCGCTACCTTTGCTCTTAGTAATTCTTGGGTCAGAACACTTAGTAAGCAGTTGAAGAGTCCAGAGTTTGATTTTAAAAAGTTAATTAACTTCTCTTGCAAAAATTTACTGTTGTGAGATAATTTGTTTAGTCAGCTAAATAACTTTGAGACTGTAGTTAGTAAAGGTTAATGCTTAATCCTTGCTTTTCCCACGATTTATAAGTACCTGAAGTCAGGAATATATTTTAACATTTGAGTTTGTTTTTTTTTTTTATTGCATTATTTATCAGCAAGGCTGTAACATCAGAAGCATCAGCTGTTACTTCGTGCAAAGGAAGCAGCTATACTGTAATGCATCTCCTTCATATGAAGTTATAGATGAATTTTGTCCCTACAGGGCAGTACAAATGTTCAAGTTAACCCACATTGCTAGGGAGAAACAGAATTTTTCTGCCTGAACACTCATCTTCATGTATGTTGTGCACTTGTCAGCTGAAAATGTCCTAGGAACTGCCCAGAACTGGGTGCTTGATTTTCTAACTCCTGAGCATTGAGGTTTGCTTTCTCTGCCTTTTGCAGTAGACACTTTTGGTTCTGGAATGGCTGTTTTTTAGTAATTGCAATGTTGAGTAGTTCTGGTTGGAAGGAATCTTTGGAGGTCTCTCCCAAACTTCTGCTGAGAAACTCACTGCTTGCTCAATTCAGAAACTGGCTCTTGTGAACATGAGAAATGGGGTTTTTTAAAAATTTCAATTAAAAAAGCTTTTCTAGCTCAAAAAAGGCCTTCTGAGTTTTTTAAACTGCCTGAATTTTGACAGTGCGCACTCCAGTTTTTATATTCTGCATGATTCTTAATGAAACATGAAAACTGAATTGTTTTTACTCTTTAAAAGAGGTTGTATTACCCTTCCTATGTAAAAATGTGCTCGCAGATTGGATTTTTTTTTTTGCCCACCTTACAAATTCCTTATTTTGTCTCTTTTGTGGAGATTCAAGGAAGATCAGTGTTTGCTTACAGTGTGGGAGAATTGGTTACCACTCCAGCAGTGCTGATCCAGGATTGTTTTGTCCCACGCCTGTCTGGCCCTCGTAAGCCTGGTGGCAAAGAAGGATTCAGTAGGGTAATGCACAATTTCTGCTCTGCAGGAAAAACCTGCACTCTATCAGAATTTCTGACCATTCTGAAATAATATTTAGTGTTGAGAATAAAGGCTGCCTGTTTTTATTGGTGAAAAGGCTCAATACCAATAGTGTTAATTTGTACCATTATTTGGATAGACCAGAATGGTATACGTGGGAAGAAATTTGTTGAGGAATCACAGATCTAAAATAATGAAAGTATTAGGTTGGCAAACAGTGCTCCTGTCCTGGATGAAAC